TTCGGTTAACGAATCAAAATTAAATAAATTGATATATTGCACTATTATTAGTCACAATATTGACTATATTGATAATGAAACAAATAAAATTTCTCAAATCCTCTCATTACCGACAATACATTTGAAAGTAGTATTCGCAAGTATAGTGGGTTTATAATATATACATAATGATTAAGTTCCCAACTAATTAGAAGTCTGATAATATAAAAAAATTAATACTGCTTAATACTGCTTTTAATCTAATTTTATTGCATGAACATGAAAGGATGTTTGTGTATTAATTCTAATTTAAGTTAATTTTCAAAAAATAAAAAAAGTAGTAAAAATTATTAAACCTACATTCTGATTCCGAACAGAACATTATTTTTATTACATTATTACAAGTTGTATGATATTAAGAGTAATAAAGTGTTTCGATAGTATTAAAAAAAAAAATAATAGAATAATACAAATTGTTTATTATTAGATATTGCGGCAGTTTAGTTTTCATATACCAAGCTATTTAACTATACGAGTAATTTTAATAATTGATAATCAGCTTCAGATAGGGAGGAAAATATCTGGTTAATACAAATTATGTCATATCGCTTTATGCGACTTTATTGGTAATGCAGAAAATCGAGGTCTCCATATTATCGTCTTTCAATGCCCCTTGCCGCGCAACACATTATCACTGCTTATAATAATAATTCTATTTTATTTTATAATTCTATTTTATGCAGAAAATCGAGGTCCCCGTATTATCGCCTTTCAATCCCCCTTGCCGCGCAACACATTGTCACTGCTTATAATAATAATTCTATTTTATTTTATAATTCTATTTTATGCAGAAAATCGAGGTCCCCGTATTATCGCCTTTCAATTCCCCTTGCCGCACAACACATTGTCACTGCTTATAATAATAATTCTATTTTATTGTAGTAATTGTTTTACAAAGACTATTGAAAAATTCTGTAAGAACTCTACGGGGGTTGTTTAACAAGATAGTAGTGTATACAGAAATAAGTCATTTCATCAATTAGTTTTTAAGTATCATGGACGAAGTATCACAATATAAGTTTTTACTGGAGTCATATAGGATATCGATAGAGAGTTTAATCAAATAGATGGAGCATACTGTAAAATTGTTTTCATATTAGTAATAAAAAATAATCAGATGTGATTATTATTGCAAATGAATATATTTTAGTATTTTCTTAATTAAACAGGAATTTTTAATTAGGAACGTATGTTTTATTCTTTATCGTCTCCAGTAGCCCAATTAGAAATAATGTTATAGTGACATTTCGTAGCTATTTGTTCTCTTTCCTTATATTTAGTTGAAATAACATTATAAGAGTTCCAAAACAAAACCCCACTAGTCAAACCGGATTTTGGGTATTAATTGAACATAACTACATCGCATCTTATTTCACATTTGTAGTACATTCTTTATAATTATACGTCAACGTAGTCGAAAGCCAATATTTAAAAAAATATAAAACTATAGTATAATAGTAAAATTATTTTAGAGAGATAGGAACAAATGAAGAATTTATGTAAGTAAATGATACCAAGAATAAAAGAGCAAGGCTTGTAATATATATTCTTATAAAATTTAAGAGATATATGCGATTATTACTGTTCTAAAATATTGTCTTAATGGAGATACGATAGGTTCTTCTTTATTTGTAGCCGTTTTTATGCGACATGATTCTTCAAACAAATTATAAATGCTGTATTATATCCGGTATTGGCAGTTCATCAGTAGTGATACTGATTAATCGATGCAAATATCTTTTTGAATAACTTATTTGGTTAAGATCACTTTAATCGCAGCTCTCCGGCTGCTATTCGCTCCACTGCCAGTCAATTTCTTTTACGAGTATCGCAATGGTGCTGTATTCTATACACTATATGCCGTATAATCCAAATAAGTTCTTTTTGATGTGCCTAAAAAAATTATGATTCAGTTCTAATTATTATTAACATATTAATCTTTTCCAACGATTTTATGCAAATACGTCACCTAATTTATGATAATTTCAAGTACAATATGTCGTATATTTTTCTATAATATCTTCGATTTCAAACAACTATTATTAAAGGACGAAGCTTTTTCTATGTATTTTTGGAAGTGGAAGATCCATCAAAGCTATAAAAGCGATTCATTATAAAAACTGTCCTAAGAATTGCATGTATATTTATAACACTAAAATTTTAATGCTAAAATATCTGATAATGATATATGAAATTACATGATTTCATGTAATATATTAATGATATATTATTCATGCCTGATGTTTTAAAAATAAATATAAATAAGTTTTTTCCGCCAGAGTTTTTATGGAACTTATTCCACAGTCATTGGTTTCCAAGCATATATGGAACTTGTGATAAGTTCTTTTGAAAATCCAGAAACGTATATCTTATAAAAATTTATACTTAGTAACGACTTTGAACTTTTTTATTTCACATATGTCCTATGATGAATATTGAAAATTTTTTAACTTATACGTCATATCCGACAGCAATATATTATATATTAGAAAAAATTTAAGTCGTGCGTACCTAAAAGTAATCACAAAATACACTTTTCGCAAATCTACAAGAATTTTATGACTTCCGGTAATGACTCGACTAATTTCTTTACTAGCTAAATTTAATTTTGAAAAAATCACCAAAAATAGGTGACGTTAAAATAATTGGACAAAACCGCATTACATTTTAACGTCAGTTTGAGTAAAATATGCATGTACACCTTTTTTCAAACTTTATCAAAATAATTTTTTTTGATCGCTTATAATAACAATTAAAAGTATTAAGTAAATATTTCAAGAAATTTTTTATTTCAATTTATGAGGCAACAACTACAGTATGTACACGATAAATGGAACAAAATTAATATTGAATTCCATAGTAAAATCACTTCATAAGTTTTAAATGACAGACTTCAGTAATAATTACATTCAATTGAACGTAAAGGGAAACACTTTCCTTTTTATAAGAACATAAACACATATCAGTGTACAAAGAATCTGAAATTATTAAAGAAAATAGTTAAAAAGTCCATATATAATCGAAATGTATTTTATTGCCTTTAGAGACCTCATCGATTACAATATAACTTTCCCTACTCTTGACGTCATCTCGGGTCCTTTTTCTTAGGCTTTTTTAGTTATGGCTTTCAACTCCTTCTGCAAATTTTCTGTTTTATTTTATTGCCTTTGGAGACCTCATCGATTACAATATAACTTTCCCTACTCGTGACGTCATCTCGGGTCCTTTTTCTTACGCTTTTTTAGTTATGGCTTTCAACACCTTCTGCAAATTTTCTGTTATCGCCACAATCGGCTCAAAACATCTTCCTCGATGTAATAATCGTAGCTTTGGGAATTTGGAAAAAATCATACGGGAGTAAATCAGAACTGAACGGTACCTGGTCAAGCAATTTGTTGACAGAAAACTACATTGACTATTGACTATATTAATTAATTAATTCACTTAAAATTTTTTATGTTTTGTTAAAATAATTTATAGAAATTATTGTAAAAAATCAATTTAAAAAACATTTAATTAATTTTGAAATCTAACTTTAAATAAATATATATTAAAGTCTCCGAAGTTATAATCAACTATGCCAATTGTCACAATTTTGAGTGCCCATGTACTATATAACACATATAAAATTTAAAAATCAATGTTTTTTAAAGATTTCCAATTAAGAGTAAAGCAGGATTTAGTTAGTGAGTTTCCCTAACTTAAGATTTATTTTAAATGTATTATGCTATCATATTAAAATATTGTATGATCACTTCAAAAATTAGTCGATTAAAAAATAGTTTTAGTTTAAAATCTTCCTCACTATCACTATAACTATCAACTATATTCTTCGAATTTGGATTTGTATTAAGTACACAATTCTAATTCAAAAAAAATTTTAAGCTTGTAAATTGCATTAGTGTAAAGTAATAAGATCTATCAAATTACTGTCTTAGCAGTAATTAATTTTATGGTTTCTACTATACGGACCCTAAGCTATATAATCGCTCAGGGTGTCATAAAAGTTGCCTTATAAGAATTAGCTCTGAATTATGAGCTTAATGTTAGTCAAATTTTTTATAATTATTAGTGTTGGAAGAATTATCGAATATTATACTGTAATTTCACCTGTTTGTTTAATAAAAACTATCCGCCCATTAAAATTCTTAATACCACATAGTGGTTAAATATTTTACATTCAGTTTAAAAATTAATATTTTTACTGACGTATTGATTACGAATTTATAATCTTATTTGAAAGCACTTCATTTGCTTTGAAAAATTGCATATATTATATTTCTCAAGAACACATGTAAGGTCTAACGAACTCATAATAGACAATTCTCGTGAACTCATTAAAGTTTTCTGATTCTGACAGCTTGATCGATGATACTTTGGTCAACTAAAATTCCTCCAGTATTAATGTTGCATGAATCATACAATACTTCAAAGGTAATATATAGTCCAAACCTAATCATTTTTCAAGCAAATACTAATAAAATGAACAAAAATAGAAACCCAATTGTAATTAGAAAACATATTTCCCGAATGGATTTCTGTGACGCTAGCACCGTAGCGCAAGCGTTTATTTCACCACAAAATTTATAACTATCATTCCAACAAAATAATCGAACAATCATAAAAAGCTATTATACTCATATTATCAAAATTTCTCCTTATCAGAAATAGAAACTTTTACCCACAAACATTAATCGCTTGTATAACCCATCATTTTTTCGTTATATTAATTGAATGGTCGTACAAGTATTAACATTGTTTACAACACCAAATCGAACAGGGATTGAAGTGAAACATATGGGTGAGTTATCTTATCAAAATTCGTTGGCCGTTGTGAAAAAACAGCATGAAAAAATCTAAAAAATAAATTAAAAATTTGTGATTTCCTCGCAAACTCACCACACAAAATGGCCAATATATAAAGTATAAGACGTTTTAATTTGCAATTTGTAGTTCGGAAATCATTAAGGAATACGATGGCAAACCGCGTAGACATGTACGTAACTGCTTTGGTCGTTTTAAGCATTGGCGTTCTTACAATAAACTTTGCACATGGCATACCAGTAGCGTCGAGATCTAATGCAATTGAATATGATCCCGAAGAAGCTGCCGGTATGGTCGAAGGTGACATGATGCTCACCGATGAACAAATTTTGTTTCTACACAGTCCAATAAGGGGCCGCAATGGCCTCATAGCCGAAACAAAACGTTGGCCGAATCGTTTGGTTTACTATAAAATAATCGGTAACTTCGGTGAGTGAAAAATTCCAAAAAAAAGTAACAATTATTTAATATTAATTAATATATTAATTAATTAAAAATATTAGTATTAATGCACATGGTTAAAAAACAAAAAAATTGTAGTTACATATTATCATATTATATATTTAAATAATATATTAGATACATAATAGTGGAAAAGTGATTGACAATAATGAAAAATAAATTAATAAAATTAAAAATTAATATATATTTGAAGACAAGAACTACTTTAACATATATTCGATAACATTGGAATTGATTTAAAATTGCATATGATTAAGTTTTGCTCTGATTTTTTTTTATAAGAAAAATATAATATAATGTACAAAAGAACTATATGCTATATGTATGTATATCTACATATATGTATAATAGCGTAATTCTGCAGCCACTCGACTATATACCACACAGAATAAAATAAAAAAAATTAAGTAAAATAAAAATATATATAAAATTAATACAAAACAAAAATGATGTAATGTATAAATAAAATTGATAAAAATATTTTAATATAAATATTGATATATAATTTTATACCTTACATAAATTGAAATATTAAAAAATAAAATAATAAAAAACATAATGTAAAAATATTAAATACAAATATTTATATATATTATTAAATAAAGTGTACAAAAAAATAAAAACAAATAGAAAAAGTATTAATATAAATAATAAATTAAATAACAATTTGTTTCTTAGACAAATTAAACAATTGATTAATAAAATAATCAATTCTAAATAATAAAATAAAAAATAAAAAAATAAGTTAAAAAAAAATTTTAAAAAATTTTTAAACTAAATATAATAAAAATAATTAAGTAAAGTTTAAAAATTAATTAATAAATTAAAATAAATATTTGTATTTAAAAAAAAATGTTGAATGAAATATAAAATACAGTGTACAAAAACAAAAAGAAATAAGAAAACACTGATATAAACGATAAAATATAATTTTATACTTATAGTTTTTTTTTAAAAATCATTTAATTACTATATATCTACGATCACTAATGTTTGTGTTATACGGAATAAATTAATTACAAAAAAAATTAGTAAAATAAAATAAAAAGTAAAATAATATGCGAAAATAAAAAAATTACATAAAAATAATAAACAATAATATGCAACAAAATAAAAAATAAAATATTAAAAAAAATGATAATAAAATATATATTAATATGAACTTTCATTAAAAAAATTAATTAAAGAAAATATTTAAAAAATATTAAATAAAACGATTCGAAAAAAAAAATTGAAAGAAAATATTAATATAAATAGCAAAATATAATTTCATACTTAAAATTATCTCACAAAAATATCTATATAACATAAAAAAAATAAATTATATAAAAATGAAAATAAAAATAAAAAAAAATAATAATTATATTAAATAAAATAATAAATAATGTACAAAAAAAAATTTATAAAAAAATATATTAATTCTAATATTAACATTAATATTATAATATGTATACTATATAAAATATTAGAATCTAAAATATTTTAATCATTTTAAGAAAATGTTATAAAATTGTTACAATAAAATTGATTGTTTTAGCGTTATTTATAAAACTCAAATTTTATATAAATAGTAATAATAAAGATGATAAAAAATTATAAGTGATAACTTAAATAATGGTCAGAAATATTTTTGTAATAAGTTAAAAGCTGAAAAAAAGTTGGCTTTAAACGTATGTAGTGATCTACAATAGAAATAATTTATTTCATTAATTATTTTATTATTAACTAATGAATGTAATTAATATCAACTTTAATATAATCTTAACCTGAATATATATATATATATATAAACTTTGAGGAGATAAAAAAAGAAAATGACTTGATTTATTAATTGAAAATTTAAATGAATCTATTAATATTTTTTTGGAAACAATTGATGGTTGTTTGATGGTTGTATTATACAGTCGAATGTAATGTCGAATATAATGCCAATCAATGGATATTTAGTACTACTCATGCATGAAAGTAAGAATTTCAAACAGTGGCGTCCCAGGTTAAATAACATCAGAGGCATACTGACTTTCTGGTGCCCCTTGAAAAGTATAAATGAATCTATTAAATTAGATTTACTCTTCTTGGAAATAGTTTTACGCTCATTTGCTAGTTGCGGCAGGGGTATGACAGATCCCGGATTGTCGCATTGTCTACATCTCACAACGCCAATGGTTTTATATAGGCATTTATATTATGTATTTTCGAATCTTGTTAAATATTACAAAAAGAAGTATTATTGCATAAAAGATTTATATGAATCAAAAAATAATCACTGAAGTGACATTTAGTAGTAATTTCGTAGTAGTGTTAAAAATAAGTACATTTTAGCTGTAAAATAATAAGTCTGTTATTGACAGTAATATGGTCGTATATAAACAATAATAAAACTGTGAAAATACTATCAAGTACATCTATAAAAAATTTTACAAATTATTGGAAATGCGCTAACCACACCTGTATATCTTTTATATTGATATAGCACATTTGGCGGAAATCAATAAATTATTATTACTAAACACTTTTAGTAATTCCAGAAATTTCATTCAATATAAAATTGAATGCCATATATTTTGAAACTGCATATATATTTTTCAAAATTTTTCAAAATAAAAAATAAATTTATTATATACAATAAATTTCGATAAGTCAACAGTTAAAGAGAATTAATTGACATTTCCATTCAGTACTATTAATTAACAATCTTCGTAAAATGTTTTATTTAATTACATAAAAGACTACTTATCTATTCAAGAACAAAGTTATATAGACAGACATATAAATGGACAGACATTCGGAAATTAGTTCATTTTCTTATGTAGTTCAAGAATTGAAGGTTTTTGTAGAGTTTGACGTTTCTTTAACTATAAGCACAATAATCATGACAAATCATTATTGTTATATCACTATTCACAAAGAGTCCATGATATGGTAAAAAGTTGACTTGAAAGATGAATCGAGTCTTTAGTAGTGGACCAATTCATCACGACATGATAAGAAGCGAAGAAAATTTTGGTAACTATTTGACCAACACATAAAGAATGTTATAGGTATATATTAGAAACTAGGAACATAACATTTATTCCCTAGAAAATACACAGTTCTAGGAAACATATGGCTACAGAGAAAATGGTTATAGAAAATAGACAGCAGCGGCAATAATCCTCGAACTCAAATGCGTGGTTCTCATCAACAAGTAAAGCCTCTCACAGCGTTATTTTGTTTTAAAAGAAACTATCAGAAATCCGAAAATAAGCTGGAGGATTGAATATAAATTCTATAAATATTTGAAGAATAACTTATAGTTCGTATACTATACGCACAAAATAGGCGACGGGCACATTAATCTAACAGTTGGAACAAGTGTGAAATTATATTAATATAAATATAATAAAAAAGACAAATAATGTAATAATATTATAATAATACATAATAATAATAATAAATAATTAAAAATTGTTGTTATTAACTTAATATTAATAATACATATAAATCTTAATATAAAAAGTAGTAATAAATTAAAATCAAGAAAATAATAACAATATATGTACAAATTTACAATAATTGTATAACAATATAGATTATATATATATATGTATATATATATGTATATGTATGTTTATATACATTGAATCCTTTAACTTCTAGAAGAAGCATAGGGCTGCGAAAAATAGATCATATACACTGTTGTTATTATATATATAAAAGTATAAATACATATATGACTTAAATATTCAAATAATAAAATAATTTTTTTTTATAAATTTTATATATAAAAGCATAAAATTAATAAATTACAAATTGTGTCCGTATTATACGTGGAAAAGAATTTTTTTATTTTACTGTATATTTTTTATTTAATTTATTTTAATTATTTTATTTTATTTTATTTTATTTTATTTATTTCATAATAAAAACCGCAGAATCCTAAGTATTAATTTTGTTAACGATTACTTAACATCAGATATTGGCAATGGAAAATATTCCACAATAATAAACAATAATAATAATTAAATTAAATTAAAAAAAAATGTGAATTGTTATAAATGAATATAAGTATATAGTATATATAGTACTAGGTAATATTAGTAAAAAGTATGCAGGATAGAGTCTTGATATTATTTCTTCCTTCTAATAATTTAATTTTAATAATAATATAAAATTATAAATTATAAATATGTTTATATATTAAGTCTTACAAGGACGACTCCAAAGTTAACAGGACGTTTCCATGATAAGTTTTATAGTGAGGTCCTGTATTCGCAATTATATGCTTCCGATATGGTTTTTTTACTGACACACTTCCGAAACTGCATGACGTTTGAATAGAAGTGGGGTTATTTCGTTGCATATTGTATATATAGTAATGTAAAATGGATTATAATTAATTGTATAATTATTTATAATTATATATTTATATACATCAATTTATAATTATAATATTATATTGATGTTCAAATCGTTAAGTTCTCCTTTACAGTTTTTGCAAGCGTATTATTTTATCTTTAATAACTATAATAAAATTATTAAATTTAATCCTTTTATTGCAATTAATTAAATTTCTTTCAGTATTTAAAGTAATATCTTTATGATTATAATCATCATCGGTTACTTTAACTTCTTGACAAGCATGGGATATCAGTTAAACATTTGAATCGTATGTGGTCTTGTAATAAGTGCTTCATCTCTTTCGTCTCTCTTAATATTATACCATATCATATAATTTTCATTCAACTATTTTTTTCTTGTAATGAATTTCAGTGAAGTGTTTTTTGACACAATTCATAAGACAGCTTCCTTACTGTCTATCAAATCGATTTCTACAAATTTGCGAATACCAGTTTTTTGCCTGCCTATCAATTTATATTAGATGTCTATGTAAAGTATGCCCACTTTATCCCCAATTGTGGCTACATCTTTTCAAAACCAGTCATGTACCTGCTTTTAAATTTCATTAGCTGGGTAATTTAAAGTATATTCAATCCTTCAGCACTTGCCACTGATGATGATATATAGTATCGATTTCATATCGTTATCATCATTGAAAAATACCAAGATTACTGAATGGGTTTGGGTTTATATTTTCAGGGTGTTATAACGACAACTTTCAACAAATGCTTATGGTTTGCAAAAAACTGCAATTGTGGTCAACAAGATGTCATGCTTGTGGAGAAATACCCACTGAATATATTTTGCTATATTTGCTATATGATGCTATGTTATATATAACATTGATATCATTTAACATTGTCGTTGTATATATATAAATAAATAACTTCGAATGGTTTGAAGCCATACAATACAATTGTTTGAAGCCATACAATACAATTGTATGGCTTCATTATTATTATTGTAGTCAAGCATGGATATGATCTTAGAGGCGTTCAGGCATAATCCAGCGGACGTAGCGTTATACCACTGTTCGCTCGAACAAGTATTGTACCATTGGTTCGTACCTGCGGTTTTTCTAGTACAATACAGGAATGCTGTTTCTATAATGTTTAGCCATTAATAGGATAAAACTAACCTGTCTCACGACGTTCTAAACCCAGCTCAAGTTCCCTTAGCTTAGCTTCATGCAATAAGACATATTTCTAAAGAGTTGTATAAAGTGAATATTTGTCGTAAAGATTTCTAAATTATAAATAAGGTTAAAGATGGAATAATCGCTATTACAATTATCATATCATATTTAAAATGTATAATTTTGCTTTGATGATAAATTTATTAATTGCTATAAATTGATATGTAAAAATTTTTTTATCTCATATTAGGTTATCAATAGAAATATTTTAATATCAAGATTATAATTGTTATAACTTGAATCCAATAATAAATATTTTGAGATATAATTTATATTAAAATTATTATCAGATATATTTCTTTATACGTATTTGTAAAGAACGAGTTGTTTTTTTTCTAGAATTAAACATAATTTCGAACCATTAAGAAAATATTCGAATTATTATTGTATTATATTTATAAATATTTTAAATACAATATTTTTATTTTGAATAATATAAGTTTTTGTGCAATATATGAAAAATGTTTATATTGCAAAATACAATTATATCCACGCATTTATATAGTTTATAATAATTTTTAGGTTATATTTGGATTTATTTCACTATTTGATATGACACATATAATAAATGTGTTTTTTTTATTTTTTTCGATGACAAAAACTTCTGATTTTATATATATATACTTTATAAAATAATGTGGAATAAACTTGTCAGAACTTCATTTCCTCTGCGGGCTTGCGGAATTTAAATTTTTATTTAATATTCATTAAATTGTTGGGCGAAGTATAAATTTTTTTTTTGTCGATTGGATTTTTTCACAATCGCAAAAAAACTTTTTCCAGTTCAACTGGTATTTAAAAAATTAAAAAGGATGTCTTTATGTCTCAAAAATTACAATTAATTTTATTTTGTCAAAAAAAATGGATTTATTCCTAATTGATTTGTGCCAGCTAATGGAAGTAATCGTTCGTACAATATTGGGAAATGGTATTGCTAAGTCAATAGAGTAAAAATATTTTTTTGGTATTACACTAAATAATATAATAATTAATTAATTAATTGAAAAGTACTTGTAATTAAAAAAAAAAAAATAAAGTAATGGATTTTTACAAATATATTTGAGTAAATTAACCAAGCAGCAGTGTTTCTCGTAGTTTTCTCTTCAAAAATATTTTTTAAATAAATAGAAAATTTTAATAAATAATTACTTAAAACTTAATTCTTTTAAATAAATAAATATATTTTATAAATAATTATTTAAATAGTCTTAGTAGCTGAATAAATTAGAAAATATCGAAATTAAATATATTAGAAACATTTTTTAAATCTCAATTTTTGTTTTGAGGAAAGAAACTATACTCTTAATATAAATTTTTGTTTTCAATAGAGATATTGGAACCATAAAAACTTCTGTTGTATCTGTTGTAAACTATTTATGAGATTATATATTTTTTACCCATTAAAATAATCTCTCTGATGTTTACTTTTTAGTATTTTTATGGCAAACTAACACCATAAGTAATCGACCTTCTTCTAGTTCGATTACTTATCTACTAACCCATATTTCATATATAGTTCAAAGATTTAAGTATATAAGACCATTTATGTTGATAGCTAGTCCATATATTGTACAGCACAATATTGACGTTATCAAAAATAGTTGGTTTATTACAGATATAAACAAAGCATAAAATACGAGTAAATCTTTAAAATTTCTTAAACAATATTTATATTAAATACTATATTTAAACCATATTTGTTACAAATCATTTAATTATATTTTCAATTTTACTTTTATTGTTCCGAAATACTTAGTTTATTATAAATTTTATTTCAGATGCGGCACATCGAAATGCTATATTGAGTGGTATTCGAACACTGGAAGCACGCACTTGTCTTCGCTTCCAAGAAGCTGACGCCACTCAAAAAGCTTACGTAGCAATTGATTCTCAGATTGGCGGATGCTATACCGCAGTGGGTTATTTGGGTAAGGTGCAAACGATGAACTTAGAAGTTTATCCTATTGGCGAGGGTTGTTTCCGACCGGGCACAATTCTACATGAATTCATGCATGCACTTGGCTTCTATCATCAACAGAGTGCCTCTGATCGTGATAATTACATAGACGTTCTTTACGACAATATTGTCGATGGCAAAGAATTCAATTTCAAGAGATACACTGATGACGTTATTACAGACTTTGACGTGGGCTATGATTACGACAGTTGTCTGCACTATCGTCCTGGTGCATTTTCGAAAAATGGTGAGGATACGATAGTACCTAAAGATAGTACTGCTACTATTGGTCAACGTCTGGGTTTAAGCAAAAAGGATATAGATAAAATAAATATTATGTATAAGTGTCCGATAGAAATTTAAAAATCTTACTAAAGATTTCACAATTTTTTTTCTATGTTTATGTTTTTTCTTTTTTTTATATTCTTTTATTTTTTAGTTTGTTTTGACTTATATATTATGTTTATTATTTTATAAGCTAATTATTTATTATCGTTATTTCCATATGCGAATGTGATATTTATAACCCATTTTATTTATGATAACCTGCTTTTATGCACGACAGTATTCTTAGCCCAGAATAATATTTAAGTTCGACAATAAATTATATGTATATATAATTTTAATTTTATTGTGTTTTTATTTTGAATCAACGACTTTCAGTAGACGTGATAAGGTGTACGCCTTCCGATTTTTCAGCTTTTTCGCCTTAATCGTTGGACTTTGCTTATCTTAAGCGTTGTGCGTAAGTCGTAAAGTAATAAATGTTGACCGTTTTATTATTCTTTTGTTGTATGTGGAGTGTATGTGCTCAAATGGTTAATTGGCACTTAAGTTTCAATTAAGATACACACATCCATGTATGGATCGAATGATTGGTTGTAGGTAATATTGTGACAACGTCATTACATATCTTAACATATGACGTAAGTAATAAATTATAATTTTAATATTTCAATTATCATGTAAAATCTCAATATGAGTAATTCGAGATGATATAGTCATTTTCGTACTAGCAAAGTCATATATGTGTGTCATATATAAATGATTTGTATTATTATTACAATTGCACTTTTTCAATATTGCATAATCATTATGGCGATATTATCTTCGATTATAAAATTTCTATTTGATTTGGATAGCAAATCTGATTCATTGAATTCTACGTGTCTCTGATATGCAATAGAAAACTATTGCAAACGTATACCATATATGGTTTAGTTTATATTTATTAACGTAACGTATACTTCAAGTAGAATGTTGATATTCTGTTCATCTATCTATCTTTTACTTACTAATGCAATATATATTATTATTTATCACTGCATAAAAGTATATCATAAAACATTTCAAGATAATTTCTTACCACGAATATATCAAACATGATAATTGTAAACCATATTGAGGTAATTGCTTTAACGTCAATTATATAATATTTTTTATCACATATAAAAAATTTAAGATAATTCGTAAGAACTAAACTTTATGAGTGATATTGAATTCTTTATGGCTCTTCATAAAAAAAAGTAAATACAGAGAACGAGATCATAGACGACAATATTACAAATGAAATATCTACGAAAATGTTTAGGCAGTAACATTCTCAGAGAATATCTTATGACTCCAGAAACCCATTATTTAGAGTTCCCTAATATTTTATTTGAACTCTGATCTTTAGAGAATGAAACCAGAAACGAAAAATATTTTAAACGAAATATTACTTGATACTTATAAAATAGTTGATGTTACAGGTAACAAATAACCAGCTATAAACCAGATTTTATATAAAAACATTCATATAAACAGATTTATATAAAAATATAAAAACATGGATATATAATTTTCGCTTATACCGTCAATAAGGTCTTTGAATATCGCAATGTCGGATTACATCATTACAGTTACTATCTCAGAGTAATTATAGCTAGTAAAGTAATAAAATATTGAATTTTTAACAAAATTTTTTCCTTTCTAGATTTTCTCATCTTGTAATGTACTACCAATGTTTTTTGAAACCACTTCTCGACATTTTTACTGACTTTCATAGATCGACAGAAATACTAAAAAAATTATATGAGATGTCTTATATATTATATATATAGAGTACACAAAGTGAATATTTCGTGTTAAAATATCTGTTGCGATATGTTTACAGACCTGTTTATGGAGATGCCCTCACATTCATTTTACAAATTTGTTGTGAAGAATTCTGCGTTTTTCTCTATTTGTGAACACTTTTCTTTCTTCTTTAAAATATTTTTTTCAATATATGTCAACCAAACGTAGAAACAACGTTATTCCTATGAGATCTTAAATATATAGTACATCTTCTACCAACATATACATTCAAAATGCTTTCTTATCAAATCTGTAATAATTTCTATTTATTGTATTTCTATCTATGCTTTTTCTATCTATGATATTTCTATCTATGATATTCTTATCTATGATATTTATATCTATATTTCTATCTAAGATTTTAAATAATAATGAACCCCAAAAAATTATCGTATACGTTAGGGCAGGTATATAGTAAAAAGTGGACTTCAACTTTTTGAGTTGCTACTCGATACATTTTGGTCAAAACGGCCCTTAGTTATACCAATTAGACCCAATTAACCTTTTCTTGTTGAACCATTGTGTTGATTTAACAAACTTCAACAGTTTTGATAGAGAAAGATTTTCAACCGGAGAGATACCTACCAGTACATAACAGTCTAAAATTTCTATTATTTTTTACTATGCGTTAGACATAAATAGTGAAGGTGTTTGATAGAGAAGGTTTCTTCTTTCTTCTCAATACTGTATTCGTAACCAAAATATTGATTTTTTGTGGTAGTTTCCCTAAAATAAACTTATAGATCATATTTAATAATATTAACATAAATATAACAATGTTTAATATTTGTCGTTTATTGCATTGTCATTCGAAAAGGTGCAACGACCATATACATTATACATTTGTAGGAGATATATACTAACACATATGCTTTTAATACTCTAGTACATTTGCACTAGATGATTAGATGATACGTAGAAGACTTGTAGGTATGTTTCATTAAATACGATAATAAATATTGGTCTTGTGGTGTGAATGTGCATTACTAATGTTATCAATTGAAAGATTGATAAATACCTACTGAGTAGAAATTAACAATTTATTTTATTGACTTAATTTGGATTGTCAAATTCTTTGAAAGCAACCATTTTTGAAGTTCATAAATTTTATTCTGTTGTATTGGATCAAACCTTCCGACAATAACTTATCGGCATTATCTTAAATCGCTTTCTAAGATATTTCGTGATTCTATCTGTTTTCGTGTTGTGACTTTAATGATATTTTTTTTAAAAAAATGGATTTAAATGTACAGTTAAACAAAAAATCCATGAGTTTGCTTTGATTCAAATAATTTTTGACTCGATATTATCTTTTTGATTTCACTGGAATTGTGTGAAGTCTAAAGGCATACTATTGTGTATAGCTTTAATGTGAGAGATATCATTATCATCTTGATTACATGTTCAGTTGAGTGAAACCTTAAGTTGTATGTGTTTGGATCTATCTAGCTTCAATCTGTGAGAGTACGTCTTCTGCTGATCAATGCCTGATATTGGTATAGATCAGTTTATTCAAATACAGTTCTTGTTGTTTTTTAATTTCACTTTATTAAAATTCTTTTGGCTGAACTTTGTTATTGAGGAATATATAGTGTTTTTTGAAATGTATCCTTTATTACTTCATGGTGTTATCTACGAATGGATAAAAGCTTTATATAAAAATTTTAATTATAAATTTTTACCAATAAAGGTGGGCTTTTTTATGTATTTTATTATACACTTTATTAAAATGCAAGATTTTTTAAAACATGCTTTATGAAGATTTGTTATTATCTTTTATCGGCACATCTCTAGAATTTTTGATCTTCCCGTCGGAGAGTATTTTTGGACTGAAAAATTTATGTACAGAAAATTCCAGAAATAGAGAGAGTTTTGTATTAATATATACTTAACATTTATCTGATTTGCATTTCTATAGTACAATTTCATATAAAAATTATTTGCTTATAGAAATAACATGGTTCAAATAACAATACTTTTTTGATAAGAATAATTCTCTCTCATTCCATTTAACTTCGCATAAGCAGGCTATGTTCGTATAAAGTGTGAATTATCTAGAAGATTAAAAATCGAATATTTTCTATTGTTCCACAGTTCTTCAGATAATTTCTTTGAGTAATTTATATAATGTGTGAGGCAGTGACGACGCGTGCCCTATCTGGAAGGGTGTGCGGCTCTTCTACAAAATTAAATAAATCAAAAATGATAAATTGAAATAGATGATATTTTATTAACAATAACTATATTATAACATTCAACAATTCATTAACCGAATAACATATTAAATAAATTAAATTAAAAACTTGAAAACTAGGCTACCTTCTTATTTAGATAATAGGTTTTATAACTATATTTTATAAAAATATATATGGTACACTTATATTACATTTATTAATAAATTATTATAATTATTGGTTCATTTTTTTTCTAATCATAAAAATAAATTTTACTAAATACGTATTTAATACAAAATCTCGTTAAAATAAATTATTGAATTTAATAGCGGAAAATAGATTTAAAATCAAAATAGCCATTTACTTGTACAACAGCTCCAATCTACGATTACTTTTTAAAAAATTATTTATAACATCAGGGTAAAAGGTCGGTTTAAACTGAATTTCTTTTAAGAATGACTTTTCTATTGATATTAAGGCTAAATCAGATAGACGGCTTTCTTGCATTTTACTTCGTGCATATGTTTTAATTCTTTTCAACGCTGAGAAAGATCTTTCAACTGTTGCAATAGTAGTTGGTACTGTTAAAATTAAACAACTTAATTTATATACCTCTGTAAGTGTGTCTTTTAAGTCCAAATTAATCAGTAATGGAGGCATATCTTTTACTAAAACGCCGCAAAAATTATTGTTGGAATAGATAACATTTAACTCGTTTTTTAATTTAACAACTTCAAAAAATTTACCATACAACTCATTTAAACAATTAAAAAGATTAACTGGAAAATCATTTCTATATAATTCAAATTTTTTTGAATTTAATAGTTCAATAAATTTTAAATCATTTAATGCCTTAAATCTTAATACCATTTGATTATAAATGGTATCTATAACTTTACAATAGATACCCCGATAACGAATTTTATGTTCTTCTGCCGTTTCACCACGTTTAAGACGTATTTCAGCTTTCTTCAAAGTATCATCAAAAGTCATATTAAATTTTTCTCTGCACAACATAACGTTCCGTTTAGCTATTTCGATATTTTCTAAACAAAAGCACACATCGAATGATTTATTTTGTAATATATCAAATAAAATATCGGTTTGAGAAAATATTTTGTCAAAGGTTGACAAAAAAAATACTGTATTAAATTCTCCCAAAAAGTGACGAAATCCTCTAGCTTCTACTGCATCAGATGCCCAGTTGTCAGGATCCTCAATCATTTCCTCAAAAAGGTTGATTAAATCATTATAGTGAGCCCACACAGTGTTCACCATTCGAGATGTATAATTCCATCTTGTTGGTGCAGCAGTAGGTAGTCTTCTTCTGACTATATCATCCAACAAATGCGTTCTTTTCGACGAATGAGAAAAAAATGACGACATTCCGGACAGAGTAGTAAAAAAAATTTTTACTTCACTAATAAAATTTACACTTTGTGACAATACTAAATTTAACACATGTGCGTTGCAATGAATGAACGCAGCTTGTGGGAAGTTTTCTCTGACTTTAGCTTGAGTGCCATTCAAATCACTTGCCATAACTGCAGCACCATCATAGGTTTGCGCAACAAGTTTGTCACCCCAATTTTTCATTTTAATAATATTAATTATTTTATTTGATATAGCAGCCGCTGAACGATCTGCACTTAAGTCCCAAAATTTATAAAATCTCTCTCTTGGTAAGCCATTGCCATCAACATATCGAAAAACAAGAGAAAGTTGTGATTTTTTTCCAATGTCTGTAGTTTCATCTAACATGACTGAAATGAATGATGATTTGTTAATTTCTTCCTCTATACAATCAGATATGACAGAAGCCACAGCGTTTATTAATTCATTTTGAATAGAGCTTGATGTTCCTGTAAACGTAGTAGCAGTAGTTAAATGACGTTCTAATTTATTATCATATTTAGCTAGTAAGTTTAGCAGCTCCTTATAGTTTCCTTTATTATTCGAACTCTGGGACTCATCATTACCCCTAAAAGCAAGTTCTTGAGTCCCTAAAAAGCAAACACAATCTATTAGGCGTTCTAAAATTTTACGGTTTTCTGAAACCTGTTGATTGTGTCGAGTTGTTGCTATTTTTTGTTGTTCGTCTAGGGAAAACTCAATTCTTGTGTTTCCAAACGTTTTTAAGGAAACAACACTATTAATATGTGCTTGTGTCAGTTGATGTTTATTCATAGCAGTAGCCAAGTGATTTAAGTCACTATATCCAGAAGTCCAAACACCTCTTTCTTTAGATGTAGTAAATAAAAGGCATGGCCAGCAAAACAATTTATTTATTAAAGAACAGCCACATAACCAAGATTTCTCATCATAATTGGATGACTGAAAATGTCTACTGAAGGATCTGCCTCGGCATTTACTCACGCAAGTCATATTGGGAAGTTTTGGTGTTGGTCTTCCAACTTGCACCAATTCCAATTTTTCTTGAAAACTCAATAGAGAAAAGTTTTTTTTTAAAAGATTTTCAATAGCACAACCACACTCCATAGTTATAAATTGATTTAAAAGATGCTGAAAAAAAAAATTTTTTTATAACGCTGAAACTCTAGAAATAATTCGTTCCAATACTGAGGATCTTTAAACATGATTTAACTGAATTGCAACATAAACAGTTAAAACTACTATTTATTTTAAAATTCGACATAGGCATTCAATATTAATTCATTTTATATCTAAATAATATCTTTAACACTGTAAATTGTAATTATTTACATTGAAAAAAAATTAAACTGTTTTTACAACAAAAAACTGTATACACGCAAAAAAAAACTGACATGTATTATATTACCTTACATTAGAGACACAACATTAACATTTGCATTATATGCAATATAGATTATCAATAAAAGTTTTTTGAGTATTAAAATATTAAACGCCTGAATTGTTATATATGCATATTTATTTACCGTTTTAAAATAACTTTAAACAATTATTAATTTATATGCGATTTTATATATAAATTTAATATTATATCAAAACGGAATAAACACAACTTTTTACATACTTTTTATAACATCAACCCAACTTTTTTCAAACAAAAGAGTTTTAACTCAGAACCATACATGTTTATGCAGTGATCAAACAAAATCAAACCCACTTGCAACGTATAAATGTGCGCACACGTACTCCGCACAGTGAGCGCCAGAAATTCGTGGGTGCTACTGTTAAAAGGGGAGAGACGAAATGTGATAGAAATGTATGGCGAGATGAGCTGCAAACTTCAGCAGCTCATACAACCACTTTGGCAAATCATCATGTTGGATTCGTATGCATGCAGTTGATATTCGAATAGAACAGAAAATTACTCTCATACAATTCCCACATATAAATCTCTATTTCTGATATTACGAACGGGAGCACACGCACAATATTTTGTTCATATGTAACGTATGAATGTGCTGCCAACTTCTTTGCACACAAAGGGGAGAGACGAAATATAATAGAAAAGTTCTGTGATTTGAGCTGCAAATATATGAGCACAACTAACAAGTATAGCACCTAACAGAAGCAAATTGATTGAGTTTTCATAGACAATTATATTTAATTGTTTTTGCTAAAACTTTAATCTTTAAAAATATATGTATGGAAATGTAATAAATAATAATAATTCTTGATGTGAAGATACTTAATAAATTTATATATGTTATTTGACATTTTGCAAATTATGTTAGGGTGTTCACCGCACACCTCCGCACCTTAGAGCAGTCGTCACTGGTGTGAGGTAATATAATATTTTTGAATGATCTTTGAAATTTGCGATTATAAAAATAAAATTAAAATCGTTTATATTTTAAAATAAATAGTTTTATTGCATTTATTTAAAAATCACAAAAGAGTTTAATTCGTACTTTTGAGGAGAGGCGAGCGGTATCTGCAAAAATGTTGACATTAATTATTATTGTGAAAAGCAGGTGGGGAATAACTTCAGCATTTGCATTATGAACTGATTATATCAAATAATTAAGATTAGATTTAAATATTTTTAGACTGTTACGTTTTCTCGATCTAAATATTTTATTTTCTTATCTATATATGTAAATTAGTATGTTGTATATTGTGGTATATAAAAATTCAAAATACATTTTTAAGATACTTTAAACAATATGAAGTGCCAGTATTTATAATGTTGTGATAATGGTAATGTATTAATGTGTATAAAAAAGATTAATTAAATAGTAGATTAGCTTGTTTTCATTCCTAAATTGAGCTAATATCTAATACAATATTTAATAATCAGTACTTAAATAAAGAAAAAAAAAAGATATACTCATAACATAAACTAAAGCCTCTAAAAGTTGTATGAATGAAAATCAATCAACTCTTTTGGATAATTTGTCCTCGAGTATGTTTCTAATTCGTTCGAGTGTAAATGAACTTATGAGTTTGCTTTTAAAGAAAGAAATTGTGACGAATAAATATCATTGGATATAAAAAGACTAGGTGGATTGATAACTACCTGATTTCCCAGCAGGTGGCAACGCCAGAACAAAATTAATTATATTTTGTATATGTGACAAACTTAAAACGACGGTGTAAAAGTTTCGACTACAGCAGATGTTTGGTTAGCTTCGAATTATTGCACCTTGGTGTTTTTTTATAAAATAGAAAAAAATGAATATCATTTAGTAATAAAATTCTTCCATTTGGAAGGAGTAAACAATGATGCAATCAAACTGAAAATGGGTTCCATTTACGGCAGCCTTGCACCATCGTTAAAAACAATCACATATTGAAAAATTTGATTTAAACGTGGTCGTACGACTGTTTTTGATAAAGAGCGTCCGACCCGGAAGAAGTCCAAAAGAGGTCACAACTAAAAAAGAAAAAGAAAAAATCCATGATATTGTGTTGAATGATCCAAAAATCATCACATGAATGTGTGTCGAATATTTTGCATGAATATTTGTAATGAAAAAGCTTTCCGAAAGATGGGTGCCGTATTTGCTCATAATTGACCAAAAATGGCAACGACTTCATCATTCAAAATATTGTTTGGAAATGTTTATATACAATCTAACTGACTGTAAGCATCGAGTAGTAACAATTGATGAAATATGAATACATTACTTCACATTTGAGGGAAAACAAGAAGTCAGAGAATGGATAGAGCGCGGGGCTAGAAAAGTTTTAACTTCCGTATTTTGGGATTCAAGTGAAATAATTTTCATAGATTATTTAGAAAAAGGAACAATAATAACATCATACTATTATTGCATATTATTGAATCAATTGAATGAGAAAATCTAGTAAAAACTACTACATTTTTCGAAGAAAAAAATTTCATTTTTGCAGGATAACGCACCCGCGCACTCATTAATAAAACCCATGGCAAAATTAAATGAATTCCGTTACGAATTACTTCCTTAACCACTGTATTCTCCAGATTTGGCACCCAGTGACTAATATCTGTTTCCAAACTTAAAAAGTTGGCTCCAGGGAAAGAATTTTCCCAAGCATATAGTCTCAGTGATCTGCTCCAGTGAATGGTAGTAGTTTTTGGTAGTTTTTATCGATATAGTTGTTAAGAACGATATAGCATAGAATGTGCACTATTTTGAATATTTATAACCATACAACTTCTGTAGAAAGTACTATAAATGTAATGTATACTTTTATATGGCAGTATTTAGATTATAAACAAGTTTATCAACAGTTTTAGTGTATATTGATAGTAAATAATTAAATTATATTGTGTCTTTTGTGGAATGGATTATAGGTGGTAAAACAGAATTTTTATTTTATTTGTGGTATTTGTGGTATATAACCACTACCTTTCTGTATGCACTATTTTAGTTAATCCAAAAAGAGTTTAAGCTTTTATGGGAATTAAAATTTGTTTTGAATTTATGTTACTTTTAAATTAAAGAGCATGACAAGCAGTTTTGGATGATTGTTGTGAAATCACACATATATGTTCCTTAATGAATCAGAATTTTATTATAGAAGGTAATTACTATTTGACGTTTGATTTATAAAATTATCTATAAAAATAATTCTATTGAAAAGCTGATTGCATTCCATTAATGTTTGAATATAATAGTGCCCTTATGTACGTTGCGGCTGGTTTGAATGGCAAGCAATCTAGAAATTCAATTTTCGATCAATTGTGACTTTGTATATACAATAACTCTGCGATTGTTGCTTTCTAAATGATCCAAACTTTTTTGGTACATCTCACTAAGCAAGCGATTTCTCATATATCTTCGGAAATAATTCTGTAGTGATGGCATTACACGATCGGATAAACCAAATAACATTAAAAAATATGTTTAGGATTACAATAACAATTAAAAATTTTTAGATTTTATTTAAAAAAAAAATTAATGAAAATATATTTTGTTATAAAGACTTCATTACCTTTACAATCAGTGATAAAATGTATTTAAAATTTCAGTACAACATTGTTGTCACAATCGCTGAAAAAGCAGCTTTTATACGCTACCAATTTTATTATGCGTGATAAAAAACGTATGCGTCTACAAAGCGGCTCCAATCGGTCATATATCACCGTTTGTATGCAATCGAAAGCTATGTAATTTTAACTGCATATACGGCAGCGAATGCATATCACCTATTATGTCAGTCGAGGTGGAAAACGCATGGATTTTGCATGTACAAAGCCGCATCAATAATTAGTATGCATTGCTCAATACAGTTTTTATACCCAAACACATGGCTTCAACTGGTACCGGCGGAGTTCCTCAGAGTTTCAATGTGGCTCCATCATCGGCGCAAGATACCGATGCATATGTGAAGAACACCGTGGTATTAAGCCTTAACGGCAGCTATTCACGTAAAATTCTGGACCTTCACGCCCAATATAGTGGCGTGTTTTATAATTGCCCGAATGCAGAGTGATGGTACGAATTTCGAATTCAACTGGATATTGTGACAAATATCTTCAGTAATAAAAAGTATGTTCTATCTAATAGTTGTATTTTCTTTGAAAATAACTTTTTGGGACAGTTTATTATTAACTTTATATTATGATGTTAACATTTATATAAAGTAATAGGTATAAAAGACAGTTTAAAATAGAGCATGTATCATATTTCTGTAGCTCTTAAAAGATCGCTAACATTTTCATAGGGATTCAAATAATCCATAGTTGCCACATTTAACAAATATCTTCAGTAATAAAAAGTATGTTCTAACTAATAGTTGTGTTTTTTTTGAAAATAACTTTTTGGGACAGTTTATTATTAACTTTATATTATGATGTCAACATTTATATAAAGTAATAGATATAAAAGACAGTTTAAAATACATCATGTATCAGATTTCTGTAACTCTTAAAAGATCGCTAACATTTTCATAGGGTTTCAAATAATCCATAGTTGCCACATTTGTCCTAAGTACCAACAAATTTACTTCAAAAAGCAGAACATTATCTTCAATGGCATAGCAATGATAATATGTGAAATATTATATATTTAAGAGATGAGAAGAAAACTTAAAGGCTTCAGCCATTATTTCTACCATTAGAA